GGTGGACCGCAGCAGGTTGGCTTGATGATGCTGTGGACAACCTGGGATAAACAATCCTTGGCACAGGGAAGCAAAGTAATTAACAAAAAAAACACATCCTCCAAAGTAGTGTGTGTGTGTGTGTGTGTGTGTGTGTGTGTGTGTGTGTGTGTGTGTGTGTGTGTGTGTGTGTGTGTGTGTGTGTGTGTGTGTGTGTGTGTGTGTGTGGTGCTCGTGTTGTAATGAACTGCCACAACCAGACGTGGCAAATAATGTACCACCAGCACAACAAACATCAATATCAAAAGGAGCCCTCTGGAAACAAACCATCTTGCGTTCTTCAGCAGAAAACGTGAAGGCTGCAAATGAAGAAACCATCCATCAGGAGAAAAAAAGTATCATGAAATGAAGGGGCAAGCAGGAGCTAAGGATCGGAAAGAAACACCAACACCCTATCGAGAGACCAGGATAGTTTAGGAGATGCATGAGCTAGCCGGAAGTGAAAGAACTTGCTTGAATTTATCCAAAGGCCACTGGCCTCGACGAGGACAGGAAGGCCACTGGCCTCGACGAGGACAGGAAGGCCACTGGCCTCGACGAGGACAGGAAGGCCACTGGCCTCGACGAGGACAGGAAGCCAGCACAACATCAAAAAGAGGAAAGGACTCCTGACCCCAAAACCGTTGAACCTAAAGGGGGAAGGATGGACTAGCACCACCAGGGACCTTGGGAACCAGCCTGGAAAGCCCACGAGTCATGGAATCAGGAACTCTCAAAAAGAGCTGGATATCCCCCCCCCCAACTCCACATCAAAGGGGGTGAACTGGGAAAGAGCCAGCATAAAGACCCCTGAGCAGAGGTACCCTTCCACAATGATCAACCCTCGTAAGCTCAACTAGGCGAGTACAAGAAAATTTACTTTCACAAACAGAGTGGCGGTCAGTTGGAACAAGTTAGGTGAGAAGGTGGTGGAGGCCAAAACCGCCAGTAGTTTCAAAGTGTTATATAACAGAGTACTGGGAAAACGGACACCACGAACATAGCTCTCATCGTGTAACTACACTTAGGTAATTACACTCGGGAACATGAGGACTGAGGTCTGATGATGTGGGAGCTGGTTACTCCTAAGGTGCTGCCACTTGATGTGTGGCCAACTATCACTAGGGATTCAATCTAACTACTGACTGAATCATTTGCAGAGTCATTTGCTGCTTCCATTCCCTTCTCTCTCTCTGAACTTTGCAGTCGTTAGTATTGTTCCGCTTACTCAATACACGCTTCCTTTAGTGAGGGTGATTGTAACAATCCCATGCTCCCTGTGAGTCGTGTAGTTTAGGGGAGTTTAGTTTTCTGCCCTTGATTAACGGTAGGCCGTTCACAACACCCAAGGCTGATGTGACAAGTGAAACCGTCTCGGTTAGTACGCTTCCGGGAGCCACCATTCAGCCCCTCCAAAAAAATTTGTACTTTTATCACAACTAAATCATTTAAGTCTTTCACGTAACACAACTACTTAGGCTCTCTTCGGGGGCATGCAAGGCAACACATGCTAAACACTGTTCATGCATAATTTTTATATTGTCATTTTCAATTCAGAAATTTGTCAACTTCCTCTGCTACGTTACTCGACACTTTCAAGTGCAGTTATTTAAGGTTGGGACCTGATAACTCTCCAGGAGAGCTGATAACTCTCCAGGAGAGCTGATAACTCTCCACGAGGGCTGATAACTCTCCAGGAGGGCTGATAACTCTCCAGGAGAGCTGATAACTCTCCACGAGGGCTGATAACTCTCCAGGAGGGCTGATAACTCTCCAGGAGGGCTGATAACTCTCCAGGAGAGCTGATAACTCTCCAGGAGAGCTGATAACTCTCCAGGAGAGCTGATAACTCTCCAGCTGTACTTTACAGCTTTACCTTACAGGTTCAGATAATTTTAAATAGAATGGGGGTTTATAGAGAACATAGAAATTAAGTTGAATTTACATTCTTTTAAAGCCACTGCCTTCTAGCTAGAGAGACTGCACTGATGGCGCTCGGCAAATTTGACTTTTGGCAAATGAACTGAAATCCTTGCTTCAGCCAGTGCAGCGTCTAGCCTGATTACAGCTCACTTGGAACATCCAGGTGGCATCCATTATCCTCCCTGATATGATGACCTAGGAAATTGCAGCCATAAGGATTGTATTTGAATGCATATCTGAGTGGTTTGGCTCTATTTGCACTCCACCAGTGCTCTGGTTGTGAAATGGCCCTTACAGACCACATTTGTACTCACCTAGTTGTGTTTGCGGGGGTTGAGCTTCAACTCTATGGTCCCACCTCTCAACTGTCAATCAACCGGTGTACAGATTCCTGAGCCTATTAGGCTCTAACACCTAATTAGGCATTACTGGGTAATTCTAAATTTCTATTAGTCTATTTTTGGGGCACTGAGAAAGTTAGCAGGACCAGAAGACACTGCCTCCTTTCTGTGGATATTCAACAGTTTCAGTATATCCCAGGTGGATCTGTTTACATCCTTGTGGAACCACAAATTTCTTGCACAGATGGTTTTATCACATGATGCATTAGCATTGGATACTCTACACTTTGACTGGAATCTCTGACAGACGGTTTAATATATTGATTAAACCAGATGGTTTTGCCCATTCAACCTTTAAAAGCTGGAGAGTCTTGCTCAGCAGGTGTCCAAGCCCAGATGTCCTCCTTGTCCTCCTCCACCTCACACACAGTGGCCTTTGATGCTGCACTAGCCATTTCTGGCTCTCCAGCGAGCCATTTCTGGCTCTCCAGCCAGCCATTTCAGGCTCTCCAGCCAGCCATTTCCGGCTCTCCAGCCAGCCATTTCAGGCTCTCCAGCGAGCCATTTCTGGCTCTCCAGCCAGCCATTTCAGGCTCTCCAGCCAGCCATTTCTGGCTCTCCAGCCTGCCATTTCCGGCTCTCCAGCCTGCCATTTCCGGCTCCCCAGCCTGCCATTTCCGGCTCTCCAGCGAGCCATTTCCGGCTTATTCAGGAATTTGATTCTTATGTTTTTTCTTTGTTGGCCTTGGCTATGAACCTACAGATTTAAAGTTTTTCCTGCAGCATTTTCATTTTGTCTCATTTGGACTGAGGACACTTTTGTGCAGCTCCACCTGAATCTGTCATGGCATCTTCTCTGTTTGGTTGTGGTTTTGTTCAGTATTTAAAGCTTTTCTGCCCCTCTTACTGAATCTTCAAACCCTGGTGCTTTGTATTAAGGCTAGGACTTCTCATCAATGGACACAATAGTAAAGAGTGGCATTGGTTCAACATCAAATCAGTATTATCATTAATAATTCAAAGTTGAACAACATTGATGTTGACTCGGCATTGAATTGGCACTGCTCTTGGATATTGTGGCCACTGGGCAGCTGCTACATAGAGCAGTTAAGCTGTCAGGTTCATCCCCACACACACATGATCTGACTAGATCTGACACCCTAAAGGTATTCTCCTCCACTGCATTCTCTGCTGACTTCATGGCTCAAGGATTATCGAGGTTGGACTGGATGTGTGCATCCTGCTACAGATTTCTAACCATCATAATGAGTTATACGTCAGAGGCTTTGTGCAGAAGACCATATCTTCGGGTAAACATCTGGGCTCCTGGATGCCTAAACCTCCTGGCATACAGACTGCTGCCTCCTACAGTTTCATCTGGTACCACTGACAGCATAAACAGCTGCCCGAAACGCTTTGCGTAATAGTGGCTTTAGGCATTGTATGTACTAGCTCTATCTATAAAGCCAACAAACTTTGTAAAATCTCTTTATGTATGTACCTTTACCTAAATAAAAATTATTATTATTATTATTATAACTGTGGTCAAGCCCTTGCAAAGAATAAGTTACAATAAAGTGGCAGAAAAAATTACCCCAAAACTCAAATGTGAAATTTAATGAAAGGACATTTCAGTCCATCCTGGATCCTTATAAAGCTGTGACGATTTTCCATTTGATAAGGTGTTGGCTGGGTTATTCAGTCCTTTTGTGTTTTGGTGGTAGAGTAGCTTTAGTATTTTAAGGTATTCTTGCCGATGGGAGCAATCAAATGCCTTGCTTAAGGACTTATTTTAAAATTTAAACTAATATCTAAGTAACAAATTGGTTAATGCAGGCGAAGAGTCACAATAACGTGGCTGAAGTATGTTGACCAGACCACACACTAGAAGTTGAAGGGACGACGACGTTTCGGTCCGTCCTGGACCATTCTCAAGTCGATTGAGAATGGTCCAGGACGGACCGAAACGTCGTCGTCCCTTCAACTTCTAGTGTGTGGTCTGGTCATCAAAATTGGTTAATGTTTCTATTACAATTTCTGCATTATAATACCATATGAAGAGAAAATGACAACAGTGGTGCAGATTACTGTAAATGACTACAGTGGTGCAGATTACTGTAAATGACTACAGTGGTGCAGGTTACTGTAAATGACTACAGTGGTGCAGGTTACTGTAAATGACTACAGTGGTGCAGATTACTGTAAATGACTACAGTGGTGCAGATTACTGTAAATGACTACAGTGGTGCAGATTATTGTAAATGCACAAGCAGTCAGAGTGCAGAAGCCATGCATGCAAGGTTTGCATTCCCTGCTAGTGCCTAAGTTCAAAGCTTGCAGTGTGCCATATGAAAGGTTCAGAAATTGAGAGTTTGAACAGAGCTCATAAGCACGTGAACACAACTTGTAACACACAATAGCATTAATAATGCTCACAAAAGTAAAGCATTTGTGGTGATCATACTTACATTCTACAGGAAAACAATCCCAGTGATCAGTTTACATCATTGATCTTCTGAATTAATTGCTAAACCAAAACAAAATGATACATTTCTTGAATTTAAGAAAGAAACGGAGATGCCGCACTCAATCACTGTGATTGTTGAAAGTGAAGGGAACACAAGGAGGCGTGGCACACGTACGTCAAGCAGGGATCCAGGGAGATTGTAGTTACACCTCACCTTCTTCATATCGTTCTGACCCCCTGTGTTATTTACCACCTCAGACTTTATTAGCGTCGACAGCAGTAGAGACTGGTCAATATTCGTCTCGTCCACCTTGATGCCATTCGTCCGGAGCCGACTCTCCAGCTCCTGTCAAAGTTAGGATGGGTATGAGGCACATGGATGTTCGGGTCTCCCGTAGTTCCATTTGTATTATCATTTACTCCTGCAGTTCTCCTGCATCACCATTTACACCATTACTGAGGTGTAATGGTGTAAATTGATTGTAGTAATGTAACTTATTCCCTTGCAAAGAATAAGTTACAATAATGTGGTAGAACCAAATACCCCAAAACACAAATATGAAATTAAATGAAAGTGAGGACCTTTCTGTTTATCCTTGAACCTTATACAGTGTTCCATACTAGAGAAATATAATTTTTAACTTATATAGCTAGTTAATGCTCAATATGAATGACACGATTTGTGTTTACTTATAATAATTCTATGTATTTCTTGGCACAATGCATTTAACCACAAATTCTATATACAGCAGGTTTAAGAATGACATTATGTAGTAACTGCATTGTTGTGTGGGATTATTACCAAGTCAATGACAGCCATATGACAGGTCACTGACAGCCCTATGACAGGTCACTGACAGCCCTATGACAGGTCACTGACAGCCCCCCTATGACAGGTCACTGACAGCAATATGACAGGTCACTGACAGCCCTATGACAGGTCACTGACAGCCACATGACAGGTCACTGACAGCCATATGATAGGTCACTGACAGCCCTATGACAGGTCACTGACAGCCCTATGACAGGTCACTGACAGCCCTATGACAGGTCACTGACAGCCCAATGACAGGTCACTGACAGCCCTATGACAGGTCACTGACAGCCCTATGACAGGTCACTGACAGCCGTATGACAGGTCACTGACAGCCCTATGACAGGCCACTGACAGCCCTATGACAGGTCACTGACAGCCCTATGACAGGTCACTGACAGCCCTATGACAGGTCACTGACAGCCCTATGACAGGTCACTGACAGCCACATGACAGGTCACTGACAGCCATATGACAGGTCACTGACAGCCACATGACAGGTCACTGACAACCGTATGACAGGTCACTGACAGGTCACTGACAGCCACATGACAGGTCACTGACAGCCATATGACAGGTCACTGACAGCCACATGACAGGTCACTGACAGCCCTATGACAGGTCACTGACAGCCACATGACAGGTCACTGACAGCCACATGACAGGTCACTGACAGCCATATGACAGGTCACTGACAGCCCTATGACAGGTCACTGACAGCCACATGACAGGTCACTGACAGCCACATGACAGGTCACTGACAGCCCTATGACAGGTCACTGACAGCCCTATGACAGGTCACTGACAGCCACATGACAGGCCACTGACAACCGTATGACAGGTCACTGACAGGTCACTGACAGCCCTATGACAGGTCACTGACAGCCCTATGACAGGTCACTGACAGCCACATGACAGGTCACTGACAGCCACATGACAGGTCACTGACAGCCACATGACAGGTCACTGACAACCGTATGACAGGTCACTGACAGGTCCCTGACAGCCACATGACAGGTCACTGACAGCCACATGACAGGTCACTGACAGCCCTATGACAGGTCACTGACAGCCCTATGACAGGTCACTGACAACCGTATGACAGGTCACTGACAGCCATATGACAGGTCACTGACAGCCACATGACAGGCCACTGACAACCGTATGACAGGTCACTGACAGGTCACTGACAGCCTCATGACAGGTCACTGACAGCCCTATGACAGGTCACTGACAGCCCTATGACAGGTCACTGACAGCCATATGACAGGTCACTGACAGCCACATGACAGGTCACTGACAGCCACATGACAGGTCACTGACAGCCATATGACAGGCCACTGACAACCGTATGACAGGTCACTGACAGCCACATGACAGGTCACTGACAGCCACATGACAGGCCACTGACAACCGTATGACAGGTCACTGACAGGTCACTGACAGCCACATGACAGGTCACTGACAGCCCTATGACAGGTCACTGACAACCGTATGACAGGTCACTGACAGGTCCCTGACAGCCACATGACAGGTCACTGACAGCCCTATGACAGGTCCCTGACAGCCACATGACAGGTCACTGACAGCCCTATGACAGGTCACTGACAGCCACATGACAGGTCACTGACAGCCACATGACAGGTCACTGACAGCCCTATGACAGGTCACTGACAACCGTATGACAGGTCACTGACAGGTCCCTGACAGCCACATGACAGGTCACTGACAGCCACATGACAGGTCACTGACAGCCCTATGACAGGTCACTGACAGCCCTATGACAGGTCACTGACAGCCCTATGACAGGTCACTGACAGCCACATGACAGGTCACTGACTGCCATATGACAGGTCACTGACAGCCACATGACAGGTCACTGACAGCCACATGACAGGTCACTGACAGCCACATGACAGGTCACTGACAGCCATATGACAGGTCACTGACAGCCACATGACAGGCCACTGACAACCGTATGACAGGTCACTGACAGGTCACTGACAGCCCTATGACAGGTCACTGACAGCCCTATGACTGGTCACTGACAGCCACATGACAGGTCACTGACAGCCACATGACAGGTCACTGACAGCCACATGACAGGTCACTGACAACCGTATGACAGGTCACTGACAGGTCCCTGACAGCCACATGACAGGTCACTGACAGCCACATGACAGGTCACTGACAGCCCTATGACAGGTCACTGACAGCCCTATGACAGGTCACTGACAACCGTATGACAGGTCACTGACAGGTCCCTGACAGCCACATGACAGGTCACTGACAGCCACATGACAGGTCACTGACAGCCCTATGACAGGTCACTGACAGCCCTATGACAGGTCACTGACAGCCCTATGACAGGTCACTGACAGCCCTATGACAGGTCACTGACTGCCATATGACAGGTCACTGACAGCCACATGACAGGTCACTGACAGCCACATGACAGGTCACTGACAGCCACATGACAGGTCACTGACAGCCATATGACAGGTCACTGACAGCCACATGACAGGCCACTGACAACCGTATGACAGGTCACTGACAGGTCACTGACAGCCACATGACAGGTCACTGACAGCCACATGACAGGTCACTGACAGCCACATGAAAAATAATCATGGTGACTGAGCTCGAAATAAAATAATTTTTGTAGGCAAAATGTCCTACTTTAATTGATAATATTATATTTATATTTTATTCAAATAAACATTTGCAATGTGTTGTACACTCAAGATTTAGTGAACTCCCAAAGTTACAATAATTTGAACAATATCATGCTATCAGATTTATGTAGGTTAATGTACATTATGCATATAAAAATAATCAGAAAATGTGTACCTGTATTCGTTATCAAATTTCAGCCTACAGCTGATGTCATTTTGATGTCACATATGATATTGTGATTTAGTCAGCTGACAGACATAGTTCAAAGTCATTTTCCTTCCCAAAGTAGCAACAATAAATGTTTATTATTTTTTTGTAATACACGTTTGAAACTTGTATCATGTGACAAATGCTTTATTCATTAATAAGCGAGACGGTAGAGTGAGACCGTCGCTCTACCGTCCGGTCCAACCACTTGGGGTGGACGGTAGAGCGACAGTCTCGCTTCATGCAGGTCGGCGTTCAATCCCCCGACCGTCCACAAGTGGTTGGGCACCATTCCTTCCCTCCGTCCCCATCCCTAATCCTTATCCTGACCCCTTCCCAGTGCTATATAGTGGTAATGGCTTGAAGCTTTCCCCTTGATAATTCCCTTCATCAATACTACCTGTATTCGTAAATGAAGCTGGCGGTTTTGTTGTTCAAGGGCTCGTCGCTTGGCTTCAACTTCCTTATTGTATTCTATGTCTAACTTGAGCCGCCTTATGTAGTCTACAGAGGCCTTCAGAATCTGTCCTTTGTTATGTCGAAGATCCCGAACAAGCTCAAAATACCTGAAGAGAATACAATTGTATTAGATGACAAATGACAATGGCTTATACAGGCGATGAGTCACAATAACATGGCTAGAGTATGTTGACCAGACCACACACTAGAAGGTGAAGGGACGACGACGTTTCGATCCGCAGGCAAACACCTTTGGCACAATGATAGACAATGATTAACAGCGCGAGTGATGTTGCATATCAAGACAGCAACATTGTGACACTGACCAGGGCTATTGTATGCAGAGTGACCTAGTTACACGAGAACATTGTCTCACAGGAAGGCGTGGAGAGCCTTACAGCAACACGCTTCATATCTCTTAAAACTAGGCATAGATGGCATAGGTCTCAAAGACAGCATTAAAGATATTAACTAAGTTATGTAACATACCAACAGACTACTGTAAGTGTTATGTGTAAGCGATTAATGACACTGTGTGTAAAGTGTGTGGTATGTTAAGGTCTCACGCCCTCACCCATGGTCTTCTTGTCCCTTGATTAATATATATAGAAAAATGTATTTGTGTGTGTACGTCTGGTAACAATGTTCAGGAAGAAATGTATATCTTTGTCACTCACAATGTTCGGTAATATGTTTATTGTTTGTGATGTGTGTCTATATATATCTATATATGAACACGTTGTATAGAACAGGGTTAAGATAGTTACCTCATCTCTTTGCCTGTATTTATACCTCTATAAATTTATTTCAATCTCAATTTTAATTACTTCCCTCCAGAGGCTGCCTTAAGGTGGTACATTAAGGGAACACAGGTTGCCAGTGGTCAGGTTCCTGCTCCAAAGGTACACCACATTTTGCTCTCAACAACATATATATATGGCAGGGGTGAGTGGACAGCTGGCAGGGGTGAGTGGACAGCTGGCAGGGGTGAGTGGACAGCTGGCAGGGGTTGCCAGTGGTCAGGTTCCTGCTCCAAAGGTACACCACATTTTGCTCTCAACAACATATATATATGGCAGGGGTGAGTGGATGGCTGGCAGGGGTGAGTGGATGGCTGGCAGGGGTGAGTGGACAGCTGGCAGGGGTGAGTGGACAGCTGGCAGGGGTGAGTGGACAGCTGGCAGGGGTGAGTGGACAGCTGGCAGGGGTGAGTGGACAGCTGGCAGGGGTGAGTGGACAGCTGGCAGGGGTGAGTGGACAGCTGGCAGGGGTGAGTGGATGGCTGGCAGGGGTGAGTGGACGGCTGGCAGGGGTGAGTGGACAGCTGGCAGGGGTGAGTGGACAGCTGGCAGGGGTGAGTGCTGGCTGGCAGGGGTGAGTGGACAGCTGGCAGGGGTGAGTGGACAGCTGCAGGGGTGAGTGGACGGCTGGCAGGGGTGAGTGGACAGCTGGCAGGGGTGAGTGGACAGCTGGCAGGGGTGAGTGGACAGCTGGCAGGGGTGAGTGGACAGCTGGCAGGGGTGAGTGGACAGCTGGCAGGGGTGAGTGGACAGCTGGCAGGGGTGAGTGGACAGCTGGCAGGGGTGAGTGGACAGCTGGCAGGGGTGAGTGGACAGCTGGCAGGGGTGAGTGGACAGCTGGCAGGGGTGAGTGGACAGCTGGCAGCTGGCAGGGGTGAGTGGACAGGGGTGAGTGGGCTGGCAGGGGTGAGTGGACAGCTGGCAGGGGTGAGTGGACAGCTGGCAGGGGGGTGATGGCTGGCAGGGGTGACAGCTGGCAGGGGTGAGTGGACAGCTGGCAGGGGTGAGTGGACAGCTGGCAGGGGTGAGTGGCAGCTGGCAGGGGTGAGTGGACAGCTGGCAGGGGTGAGTGGATGGCTGGCAGGGGTGAGTGGACAGCTGGCAGGGGTGAGTGGATGGCTGGCAGGGGTGAGTGGATGGCTGGCAGGGGGAGTGGAGCTGGCAGGCATGAGTGGATGGCTGGCAGGGGTGGTGGATGGCTGGCAGGGGTGAGTGGACAGCTGGCAGGGGTGAGTGGACAGCTGGCAGGGGTGAGTGGACGGCTGGCAGGGGTGAGTGGACAGCTGGCAGGGGTGATTGGATGGCTGGCAGGGGTGAGTGGATGGCTAGCAGGGGTGAGTGGATGGCTGGCAGGGGTGATTGGATGGCTGGCAGGGGTGAGTGGATGGCTGGCAGGGGTGAGTGGATGGCTGGCAGGGGTGAGTGGACAGCTGGCAGGGGTGAGTGAGTGGACGGCTGGCAGGGGTGAGTGGACGGCTGGCAGGGGTGAGTGGACAGCTGGCAGGGGTGAGTGGATGGCTGGCAGGGGTGAGTGGACAGCTGGCAGGGGTGAGTGGATGGCTGGCAGGGGTGAGTGGACGGCTGGCAGGGGTGAGTGGACAGCTGGCAGGGGTGAGTGGACGGCTGGCAGGGGTGAGTGGACGGCTGGCAGGGGTGAGTGGACGGCTGGCAGGGGTGAGTGGAGGGCTGGCAGGGGTGAGTGGATGGCTGGCAGGGGTGGATGGCTGGCAGGGGTGAGTGGACGGCTGGCAGGGGTGAGTGGATGGCTGGCTGGCATGGCTGGCAGGGGTGAGTGGACGGCTGGCAGGGGTGAGTGGACGGCTGGCAGGGGTGAGTGGACAGCTGGCAGGGGTGAGTGGATGGCTGGCAGGGGTGAGTGGATGGCTGGCAGGGGTGAGTGGACAGCTGGCAGGGGTGAGTGGATGGCTGGCAGGGGTGAGTGGACAGCTGGCAGGGGTGAGTGGATGGCTGGCAGGGGTGAGTGGACAGCTGGCAGGGGTGAGTGGATGGCTGGCAGGGGTGAGTGGACAGCTGGCAGGGGTGAGTGGATGGCTGGCAGGGGTGAGTGGATGGCTGGCAGGGGTGAGTGGATGGCTGGCAGGGGTGAGTGGACGGCTGGCAGGGGTGAGTGGACGGCTGGCAGGGGTGAGTGGATGGCTGGCAGGGGTGAGTGGATGGCTGGCAGGGGTGAGTGGATGGCTGGCAGGGGTGAGTGGATGGCTGGCAGGGGTGAGTGGACGGCTGGCAGGGGTGAGTGGATGGCTGGCAGGGGTGAGTGGATGGCTGGCAGGGGTGAGTGGATGGCTGGCAGGGGTGAGTGGACAGCTGGCAGGGGTGAGTGGACAGCTGGCAGGGGTGAGTGGACAGCTGGCAGGGGTGAGTGGACGGCTGGCAGGGGTGAGTGGATGGCTGGCAGGGGTGAGTGGATGGCTAGCAGGGGTGAGTGGATGGCTGGCAGGGGTGAGTGGACGGCTGGCAGGGGTGAGTGGACGGCTGGCAGGGGTGAGTGGACAGCTGGCAGGGGTGAGTGGACAGCTGGCAGGGGTGAGTGGACAGCTGGCAGGGGTGAGTGGACGGCTGGCAGGGGTGAGTGACCACCTGCCATGAATGCCCACCAGCCATGAGTGACCACCTACCATGAGTGACCACCTGACATGAGTGACCACCTACCATGAGTGACCACCTACCATGAGTGACCACCTGCCATGAGTGACCACCTACCATGAGTGACCACCTGCCATGAATGCCCACCTACCATGAGTGACCACCTAACATGAGTGACCACCTACCATGAATGCCCACCTGACATGAATGCCCACCTGACATGAGTGCCCACCTAACATGAGTGACCACCTGACATGAGTGACCACCTGACATGAGTGCCCACCTGCCATGAGTGACCACCTACCATGAGTGCCCACCTAACATGAGTGACCACCTACCATGAATGCCCACCTGACATGAATGCCCACCTAACATGAGTGACCACCTGACATGAGTGACCACCTGCCACGAGTGACCACCTGACATGAGTGACCACCTACCATGAGTGCCCACCTAACATGAGTGACCACCTACCATGAATGCCCACCTGACATGAATGCCCACCTAACATGAGTGACCACCTGACATGAGTGACCACCTGCCACGAGTGACCACCTGACATGAGTGACCACCTACCATGAGTGACCACCTGACATGGGTGACCACCTGCCATGAGTGACCCCCCCCCCACAGTGTAACTCACGGTTCGTTGCTCTTGGGCAGCAGTGTTGCCAGCTCCTTGATCCGATCATTAATGTTAAACCGCCGCCGTCGTTCAACTGAAAACGAATGAATAAATGTGTTAATTCTACATTAGAATTTAAATTCTATTTAAGAATTTAAGAATGTAAATTCTAGATTAGAATTCTAGAATTTATTGATCATTTATATACATTATTTATCATACAGGAACACTGTGTATACTGAACATGCAGGAACACTGTGTATACTGAACATCCAGGAACACTGTGTATACTGAACATCCAGGTGCACTGTGTATACTGAACATCCAGGAACACTGTGTATACTGAACATCCAGGAACACTGTGTATACTGAACATGCAGGAACACTGTGTATACTGAACATCCAGGAACACTGTGTATACTGAACATCCAGGTGCACTGTGTATACTGAACATCCAGGAACACTGTGTATACTGAACATCCAGGAGCACTGTGTATACTGAACATCCAGGAACACTGTGTATACTGAACATCCAGGAACACTGTGTATACTGAACATCCAGGAACGCTGTGTATACTGAACATCCAGGAGCACTGTGTATACTGAACATCCAGGAACACTGTGTATACTGAACATCCAGGAACACTGTGTATACTGAACATCCAGGAACACTGTGTATACTGAACATCCAGGAACACTGTGTATACTGAACATCCAGGAACACTGTGTATACTGAACATCCAGGAACACTGTGTATACTGAACATCCAGGAACACTGTGTATACTGAACATCCAGGAACACTGTGTATACTGAACATCCAGGAACAGTGTGTATACTGAACATCCAGGAACAGTGTGTATACTGAACATCCAGGAACACTGTGTATACTGAACATCCAGGTGCACTGTGTATACTGAACATCCAGGAACACTGTGTATACTGAACATCCAGGAACACTGTGTATACTGAACATCCAGGAACACTGTGTATACTGAACATCCAGGAACACTGTGTATACTGAACATCCAGGAACACTGTGTATACTGAACATCCAGGAACACTGTGTATACTGAACATCCAGGAACAGTGTGTATACTGAACATCCAGGAGCACTGTGTATACTGTACATCACATTACATACACTCATACAATGCCCAATACACTCACACAAGGATACACTCAACAATATACACTTAATATACAAAGACACTGACTCATATTGTGGTTATCCTTCTTCTGTCTGTCCTTGATAAATGCGACCATCTGCTGGTCGTTACCGGAGGTCTCCGTCTTGACCTGACCCCCGTCGGAGGCGCTGGACGTCTTGCCCACGTAGCTGTTCAAGCCCAGGAGGTCGCAGATGGAGCCAGGACCTCCGTTGTTCACCTGTGGAAGGTAACTATCTTTAGTTCAATTATGAACAGGTATTTCAGTAGGAATATGATTTTTCTGTTACAATGGTGGCAGCGGTGGGATTGGGGGATACCAGGGGACACCGTTGTTCACCTGTGGAAGGTAACTATGTAAATTTAGTTCAATTACGAGCAGGAATTAATGTGGGAACAAGTACGATTTTCTGTTTGGTGCTTTATTATTATTATTATTATTTTTATACCACAGATGTGGCCACATATTTACAATGCTAACCAGTATATATACATTTTCTTCTGTCCTCCATGGCAATGAAGTATTCGTAGGTACACAGGTGTGTTTGTAGGTACACAGGTGTATTTGTAGGTACACAGGTGTGTTTGTAGGTACACAGGTGCATTTGTAGGTACACAGGTGTATTTGTAGGTACACAGGTGTATTTGTAGGTACACAGGTGTATTCACAGGTGTGTTTGTAGGTACACAGGTGTATTCACAGGTGTGTTTGTAGGTACACAGGTGTATTTGTAGGTACACAAGTGTATTTGTAGGTACACAGGTGTATTCACAGGTGTGTTTGTAGGTACACAGGTGTATTTGTAGGTACACAGGTGTGTTTGTAGGTACACAGGTGTATTCACAGGTGTGTTTGTAGGTACACAAGTGTATTTGTAGGTACACAGGTGTATTCACAGGTGTGTTTGTAGGTACACAGGTGTATTTGTAGGTACACAGGTGTATTCACAGGTGTGTTTGTAGGTACACAAGTGTATTTGTAGGTACACAGGTGTATTCACAGGTGTGTTTGTAGGTACACAGGTGTATTTGTAGGTACACAAGTGTATTTGTAGGTACACAGGTGTATTCACAGGTGTGTTTGTAGGTACACAGGTGTATTCGTAGGTATACAGGTGTATTCGTAGGTACACAGGTGTATTCATAGGTACACAGGTGCATTCATAGGTACACAGGTGTATACGTAGGTACACAGGTGTATTCATAAGTACACAGGTGTATACGTAGGTACACAGGTGTATACATAGGTACACAGGTGTATTCGTAGGTACACAGGTGTATACGTAGGTACACAGGTGTATACGTAGGTACACAGGTGCATTCGTAGGTACACAGGTGTATTCATAAGTACACAGGTGTATTCGTAGGTACACAGGTGTATTCACAGGTGTGTTTGTAGGTACACAGGTGTATTCGTAGGTACACAGGTGTATTCGTAGGTACACAGGTGTATACGTAGGTACACAGGTGTATACGTACATACACAGGTGTATACATAGGTACACAATATACTTTGTATAAAGCCACTAATATACAGAATGTATTTAGCATTAGGTCAAAGTATTACTTTAAAACTTAGAAATTAATTGACCACTATTTATTCAGCCCCTCAGTAACAGACAGACATTATCTTAAGATTATCTTAAGATTATCTTAAGATTAAGAAGTTATCTTAAGAGTTTTTTATTATGCTACTCTTGCGAGTCTAAAGACATTAAACAATAAGATATTGGTCTGTAACTTACTCAAAACCCTGATACAAGTACTGACAGCATTTTACAGAAATAATTTTAATTTACACGTTTACACATTTACACATTTACACATTTGAAATTTACACATTTGTTGGGAATTGGAGTAATGTTTTCTTTTCAATATTTCTCACTCAAAATTGGAGGCAAACAAGTTGGTGTTTGTAGTTCTGTATTGTTTGTTGTGTATACTGATCCGTTGTTGGAGGGGGTTAGGAGACAGCGGCTTGTCACAGAGGATCAGATTACACTCTAATGTTCAAGCCTGCCCAATATGTTGTAACTATGTTGTACCTCCAAGACTACTGTATTACGCTTACCTCCAAGACTACTGTATTACGCTTACCTCCAAGACTACTGTATTACCCTTACCTCCAAGACTACTGTATTACGCTTACCTCCAAGACTACTGTATTACCCTTACCTCCAAGACTACTGTATTACGCTTACCTCCAAGACTACTGTATTACCCTTACCTCCAAGACTACTGTATTACGCTTACCTCCAAGACTACTGTATTACCCTTACCTCCAAGACTACTGTATTACGCTTACCTCCAAGACTACTGTATTACCCTTACCTCCAAGACTACTGTATTACGCTTACCTCCAAGACTACTGTATTACGCTTACCTCCAAGACTACTGTATTACGCTTACCTCCAAGACTACTGTATTACGCTTACCTCCAAGACTACTGTATTACGCTTACCTCCAAGACTACTGTATTACCCTTACCTCCAAGACTACTGTATTACCCTTACCTCCAAGACTACTGTATTACCCTTACCTCCAAGACAACTGTATAACCCTTACCTCCAAGACTACTGTATAACCCTTACCTCCAAGACTACTGTATAACCCTTACCTCCAAGACTACTGTATAACCCTTACCTCCAAGACTACTGTATAACCCTTACCTCCAAGACTACTGTATAACCCTTACCTCCAAGACTACTGTATTACCCTTACCTCCAAGACTACTGTATTACCCTTACCTCCAAGACTTCTGTATTACCCTTACCTCCAAGACTACTGTATAACCCTTACCTCCAAGACTACTGTATAACCCTTACCTCCAAGACTACTGTATAACCCTTACCTCCAAGACTACTGTATAACCCTTACCTCCAAGACTACTGTATAACCCTTACCTCCAAGACTACTGTATAACCCTTACCTCCAAGACTACTGTATAACCATTACCTCGAAGACTACTGTATAACCCTTACCTCCAAGACTACTGTATAACCCTTACCTCCAAGACTACTGTATAACCATTACCTCCAAGACTACTGTATAACCCTTACCTCCAAGACTACTGTATAACCCTTACCTCCAAGACTACTGTATTACCCTTACCTCCAAGACAATTGTATAACCCTTACCTCCAAGACTACTGTATAACCCTTACCTCCAAGACTACTGTATAACCCTTACCTCCAAGACTACTGTATTACCCTTACCTCCAAGACTACTGTATAACCCATACCTCCAAGACTACTGTATAACCCTTATCTCCTAGACTTCTGTATTACCCTCACCAGCTTATCTTAGCCTAACCCAAACTAATCCAGCCTATTGTAGTCTAACATGAATACGAAATTGGGGTTTGATCCAGTATTTTAGTCCACCGTTTCATGTGTGTTGTGACGTAGGTGTAGGCACGACCAGCCTTCATAACTAGCGGCCCTCAAGTCCACGTGCTCGGGGCTCACCATAGTCCGTGCTGCTTGGAACATTTTGTTCCAGGTAGCGAATCTTAATGCACACCCGTCAAGTTACTAGCCTCGGTAACGTATAGGGGGAAGGTCAGTAGGTACCAATGGGTATGTCAGTTCCCAGGCTGTGGTGGGTGTGTAGCTGGCCTGTGGTGGGTGTGTAGCTGGCCTGTGGTGGGTGTGTAGCTGGCCTGAGGTGGGTGTGTAGCTGGCTGTGGTGGGTGTGTAGCTGGCCTGTGGTGGGTGTGTAGCTGGCCTGTGGTGGGTGTGTAGCTGGCTGTGGTGGGTGTGTAGCTGGCCTGTGGTGGGTGTGTAGCTGGCCTGTGGTGGGTGTGTAGCTGGCCTGTGGTGGGTGTGTAGCTGGCTGTGGTGGGTGTGTAGCTGGCTGTGGTGGGTGTGTAGCTGGCCTGTGGTGGATGTGTAGCTAGCCTGTGGTGGATGTGTACCAGGCTGTGGTGGGTGTGTACCAGGCTGTGGTGGGTGTGTAGCTAGCTGTGGTGGGTGTGTACCAGGCTGTGGTGGGTGTGTACCAGGCTGTGGTGGGTGTGTACCAGGCTGTGGTGGGTGTGTAGCAGGCTGTGGTGGATGTGTAGCTGGCTGTGGTGGGTGTGTAGCTGGCTGTGGTGGGTGTGTAGCTGGCCTGTGGTGGGTGTGTAGCTGGCCTGTGGTGGGTGTGTAGCTGGCCTGTGGTGGGTGTGTAGCTGGCTGTGGTGGGTGTGTACCAGGCTGTGGTGGGTGTGTAGCTGGCTGTGGTGGGTGTGTACCAGGCTGTGGTGGGTGTGTACCAGGCTGTGGTGGGTGTGTACCAGGCTGTGGTGGGTGTGTACCAGGCTGTGGTGGGTGTGTAGCAGGCTGTGGTGGATGTGTACCAGGCTGTGGTGGGTGTGTAGCAGGCTATGGTGGATGTGTACCAGGCTGTGGTGGGTGTGTAGCAGGCTGTGGTGGATGTGTAGCAGGCTATGGTGGGTGTGTAGCAGGCTATGGTGGGTGTGTAGCTGGCTGTGGTGGATGTGTACCAGGCTGTGGTGGGTGTGTACCAGGCTGTGGTGGATGTGTACCAGGCTGTGGTGGATGTGTACCAGGCTGTGGTGGGTGTGTAGCAGGCTATGGTGGATGTGTAGCTGGCTGTGGTGGGTGTGTACCAGGCTGTGGTGGGTGTGTACCAGGCTGTGGTGGGTGTGTAGCAGGCTGTGGTGGATGTGTAGCTGGCTGTGGTGGATGTGTACCAGGCTGTGGTGGATGTGTAGCTGGCCTGTGGTGGGTGTGTACCAGGCTGTGGTGGATGTGTACCAGGCTGTGGTGGATGTGTACCAGGCTGTGGTGGATGTGTAGCTGGCTGTGGTGGATGTGTAGCTGGCTGTGGTGGATGTGTACCAGGCTGTGGTGGATATGTACCAGGCTGTGGTGGGTATGTGGGCCTGCGGGCCGCTCCAAGCAATAGCCTGGTGGACCAAACTCTCGTTGCATTCAACATCGACAATGCAAACCAGACAGGACAGAGCTTATCTCAACCCAACTTAAAATAATGAACGTGTTTGAGGATGTTGAGCTAGACAACTTCTAACACAAACAAGGAACAACGGTTTTCAGCTCAACAAGCCACAATGTGCCACTGAGAACAGGAGAGGCTTTTCACCCACAAGGATTTAGTGCCGTAATATCCACCAGACAAGGGTTAAGTAAACACAAGTCTCTGATCCACACACACACACATATATATATATATTCTACAAGTGTACAGCCCCAAGGA